GGCCTGACCTAGGGTGAATTTTAAATAGGGATAATTTTTAATGATTTTAAATAGTCACAGCCACTAATATTTGGATTTTAATTGGTTTTTAGAAGGGGTAATTCTGTATATTGTTTTAACATGCTGTGAGCCGCCCTGAGTCCCATGGGGAGAAGGGCGGCATATAAATTTTGTAAAATAAAATAAATAAATAAATATTACATATGTTACACTTTTGATGTGACTTTTGGAAGTATTACTTCCCCCTTATGTCTCCTTATTAAAATCACACCCTAGTGATGTTTGCAGTCCTGTAGGGGCTGATTTACAGTTTTTAGCATTTACAGATAGTCCTTGATTTACAACCAGTCGCTTAATGACTATTTGAAATTATCTCCCCAGAACTACTTAACAACCCGTTTTCAAAGTTACACACACCTAGTGGTCCCGTGATTGCATTTTGTGCGCTTGGCAACTGACTCACTTTTGTATCTATTTGCCTGGAGACGTTTTGGCCACTTTCCAGCATTTACTTCCAGTTTCTATCAAAAAAATGCTCAGTGGAAAAACAGATTCTCTTAACGACTGTTGTGTTCACTTAACAACCACTGTGGTCACTTAAGATCATGGTGTCCTCTTAATGATTGCCACAAAAAATGTCAAAAAAAGCGAGGTCTTGTCACATGGTGCCTTGCCTTGCAATCTCAATGACTGATGATTGTAATTCTGGGTTCAATTACTATCATAATGCAATGGCCTTCCTAATAATATTTAACCTATCATCATTCTTAATTATTGTCTGATTTTTCTCTCGGTAAGGGGAGAAAAGAACACATTAGAAACCATAACTAACAGTAGTGTGTTAAATGAAATTCCTGAAGGGCACCAAGGGCTTAGGGAAAATTCCCTGGTTTCACAGCAAAGAAGACTGATGAATGTAGTGTTTAGTTTTTCATTCTAAAATTATAAACTAATCCATAGTCTCGGAATCTCAAACTCGGATGATTGTGAGGGCTTCCCTATTTACTTTGCTTGAAATGTCTCAAAGAGCACCCAGGACGCTACAGTTCAACCTTCAGCTACAAATATTTCCCTTCTTTTGGTAGTTTGCTTGTTGGAAGCCAAGAGGCAGTCAACAAGTCATGGTCACATGATGTCCTCGCTTAATGACAGCAGTGGGGGCTGGGATCGCTGTCGCAATGATGTAATGCCTCATCACACTTTACAGTTGCATCACTTAGCAATGCAAATTTCCATAGTCCCAATTACCATAGTAACCTGAGGACTACCTGTAATTATTGGCCCCCCGACCTAATATTTTGTAGCACACTGTTTTGAGGCAATAACTGCCATCGGGTGCTTTCTGAAGCTCCAGTGGCAGTGGGTTTTTTTTTCTTCCTTTATATTTATTGACTGCCCAACTCCAGTTGTCTTAGATGAGTAAACTCCCAACCGTGAGTTTGGGCTCTTTCCATGGATGTTGCATTGGATTCAGACCAGGACTCATAGCAGGCCATTTCAGAACAGTTTAATATTAGATTTTCAACCATTTTTGGGTTCTCTTAGGTCGGGGGTAGGCAACCTTGGCTCTTTTATGACTCGTGGACTTCAACTCCCAGAATTCCTGAGCCAACATGGCTGAGCTTGAAAACCTCTCCCTTTCCCCTCAGCATGGCTGGCTCAGGAATTCTGGGAGTTGAAGTCCACCAGTCATAAAAAAAGCCAAGGTTGCCTACCCCTGTCTTCGGTGTATGTTTTGCGCCATAATCCTGCTGGAGGACCTGTGACAGAGACTGTGCTTTCTAACACGTCTGTATATTAATCAAATAATCCTCTTTTTCCTTCCTAGAATTGAGAGAAAAATTGCAACAATATCACTGGAAAGCAAATCTCCACAAAAGCCGCTGGAAAATAGTAAGTTTATAGGCCAGTAAGTGGGCATTTGATAAGACAAAAGGGATTGATCAGGACAAGAATAAAAATAAACTTGACCACTTGTGGTGATCTACTTCTCAAAAAGCCTTTCTGGCACCGAAATGGTTCAGGAAAGGAAGGAGCCACAAATTGTGGGCCTCAGCTTGAGTCTGGTAGGGAAGTTGGTTATGCTGACAGTTATGCCTTTTGTTTTGTCCTGTTGCTGTAGATCAGAAATGTCAAACACAAGGCCCGGGGGCCGGATGCGGCCCGCAAAGTGGTTTCATGTGGCCCGCGAAGCCATCCTGGAAACAGTAAGGGAACGTCTCCCGCTGCCTTGGCCCTGCCCAGGCTGGCCGGGAGCCAATGTACAATTTTGTAGTGGCCATCTATGCTGAAATGTATTCAGTCTTAGCTCCACAAGGCCATCCAGAAACAGCGAGGAACCAGCCCCTGCTGCATTGGCCCTGCCCGCTGGGTTCATGCTGGGGAGGTGTCACCCTTTGTGAGGAATGAAGAAATGGACCATGCCTTGGTGCTTGCCCCGGTCCCACCCCCTTCTGCCAGAGACCCTCAGATCTGTCCCACTCCTGCCCAGGCCCCCACAGGCCCCCTTGACGGGAACGATGTAGAGCTGGCCATGCCCACCCAGTAGGCCACACCCACGCGCCCCCCCAAAGGCAACCGCAATGCTGATGCGGCCCTCAATGAAATTAAGTTTGACACCCCTGCTGTAGATTTAGAATAGATGTAGGGTTTCTGTAAAAATAAAAATAAAAAACTAAAAAGAACTGCAAAACATTTACCAGCGTTACGCAATTCACCTGAAGCATCACGATCCAATAGCTGTTACTGAAACCAAAATGTGTGAATTCACTGTGAAGTGTTTTAAAAAAAATAAATAGGTGAGCATCTAAGTTTAGGTAGTGACGGAAATACTATTTCAAAAGATGCAACGATGGCTCCTGGCCCTCAGTTTTAATTATTGAGTTCATGGCTGAGTTCAGATAGCTTGTGCTCTGTTCTAAGGCAGTCTGTCTCTTGTGGTATGAATCTGGGTGACTAGTTTCTAGACGCCATAGTGCTGGACTAAATGGATTTTGATCCAAGCAAGATGGGCTGCTGTTCTCTAATTGTGATGAATGCAGAAATTACTCTCCTTCCGATACGAGTCCTTGCACAGTAGACAATTTAGTTGCCTCTATATGGCAGCTCCTGGCTGCAGAATTCTGGCAGACAATCTAGCTACCAGCTGCCTTTTCTCCTTGGGATCAAGAAAGCTAACCCTGATTAAAAACAGGGTCCTCATTTAATTTTATCACTCTGCCAAAAGGGAAACCACGTTTCTCTTGAACTGACGCCTACATTTTCTGCCTTTGCAGGCATCAACTCAGCTGGGAGAAAGCAGGCTACTGAAAACATGAACAGCAGCAAGTGGAAATCAACCTTTTCTCCGATTTCTGACATCAATCTTTCCAAAATGGCAGACAGTCCTTTGCAAGCGTCAGCATCATCCCTGAACCAGAACACCCTCTTTGCCTTCAGACAATCCTCTGATGACAACCTGGCAGGCGACAGGGCTGGCACGCACGTGAGGAAACACGCAACTGCATCTGATGGGCTTGGCCAAAATACCATGAATGGGTTTGCTTACAACGGTGGCAGGCTGTCTGCAGATGTCGGTTTACATAGCTTTACTGATGGTGCTTCACTTTCTCACAAAACGGCTGACGTGGTGACGGCTCTGGGGGGCTCCTCGATGGGTTTCCTGATACAAAGGAACAAAGAGGCCGGAGTCCCCGAGACGAATCCATTCTTGGGCAAGAGGCAGCTAGAAAGCCTTGGCGGTGGGAAAGGGGACGATTTGAACTGGTCAGGACTGAAAGGCAAAGAGGCCAACGAACTGAGTGTCCGGCTGGGAGGCTCTTCCGACAAGGCTTCGGTGCTAAACAACAAATTCGGCAAAGGACGGGAACGCGACGTGGAGTTCAAGAACGGCCACAACCTGTTCATTGCTGCTGCTGCTGCTGCTGTCCCCTCTGGTGGCCTTCTCAATGGCAAAAGCCTCTCTGCAGCCAACTCTGGCAAGTCGTCCGGCATGGCCTCCTCCACGCAGACCCACCACCCTTTCTTGAACTCCTTAACCCCTGGCACGCAGTTTCCCCTTGGCCCCATGGTAACAAACTCCTCGGTACTGCAGTCCTTATTTAATTCGATGCCAGCCGCCAGCCTAGTGCATGTATCATCAGCTGCCACCCGCCTGACCAACTCACACACGATGGGGAACTTCTCTCCTGGGATGACAGGTGGAACAGTTGGAGGTAAGCTAAACTTTATTCGTGGCACACACTGTGACCGCAAGGGACACCCGGTCCAGGTGCAAGGGAGCAAGAATGACAATGATGAATTGTTCAAAGTAGCTGCTTTATTGCTGTTCGCCCATAGACAGGGATCTTGCCAGACTAAAGCACAGGCTGCGTAACTAGCTGATAAATCCTACGAAGGTTAGGGTGGATCTTTCTGCATACCAGGGACTCAAGGCTGACTTGTCTTGTTAGTTCCTTGGGAAGGAGCCCCTCCATTCTGAATTCAGCGGCAGATTCCACCACCCTTCCTGGTATTTCATACCTCCCCCCCATCCTAACGGCAGATATTTTTAATCGTTTTCCATCTGGGTTTATCTCCTGAGGCAGTGATGGCGAACCTTTTAGAGACCGAGTGCCCAAACTGCAACCCAAAACCCACTTATGCATCGTCAAGTGTTGGGTGGGTGTGGCCCATTGGGTGGGTGTGGCCCATTGGGTGGGCATGGTTGCGGTGGTAATGGCAGACTGGGTGGGACTAAAAAGGTCAATCAATCAATTCCAATTTTGCAAGATCTTTTTTTTTTTTGAAATTGACTGATTGAACTTTTTTTTTTTTTTGCACACGGCGGCGGAGGCCTCAAGAGAAAAGGTTTTATAAGGCTGAAGGCCTAGGACTGGGGCGACGGCGCGCGTGCCCACAGAGAGGGCTCTGAGTGCCGCCTCTGGCACCCGTGCCGTAGGTTCGCCACCACTGAGGGATCCTTGTGAATCCCTGTCATGCAGCCAAATTTCTAGAGCATCTTTTAATCGGTTCTGTGAGAATTTCTATGAGCTGGGACGAGGAGAGGCTTGGGACCTTTTGCAGCATTATATATTTTAGCCTTTTCGGTGATCTCAAGCATCTGAGAATCTCAGGGAATCTCATTTTTTTCCCCCAAGTGTGCCTGCCTGTCTCTTGAGAATGGGCCTAGAATGAATGGTATAGCTTTTCAGGCGATTCTTGACTACTTAGGGTCCATGTGTCGATCTCCACTGGGGGGTGGTGGTTCTGTTGGGGTATTGAGTTCAGCCACGGAGTTCCCCCTTGGTGCTTCTAGAGCGTGAGCAAGGAAGAGGTAAGTGCGTCTCTCTTCTGCTAGGTTTTGTGTTTTTTGTGTTTGTTTTTTTTATTTAACTGCCACTGCCCATTGCCTGCTGCTGTTTCCATACTGCATTATTGCCTGCCTGCCTGCTTTTGTTTTGCTTCTCTTGCTGTGAGCTGTATAAAGTCCATCTGCTGAGGGTTTTTTTCTCTCCTGTTTGCAGGTATTTTTAACCATGTGGTGCCTTCTGCCTCCTCCTCTTCCTCCTCCTCCGCTCCCTCCCCCTCCCCTTCCTCTTTTTCATCCTCCACCTCGTCCCTCCATTTTGGCAACGGTGCTGTTTCCAGCTGTACCCTCTTAAGCTTAAATCCTCTGCAAGTCGCCGCCAGCACCCCATCATTCCATGTGTCCCCCAACCCAGCGCCATCTAACGATGCCCAGCACCTCACCCGCCCCCCAGCACGTGCCGCTCTTCGGACCCCACCTCCTCCTCCTCCTCCTCCTAATGTTTCATTGCCACCACCTCCCCCCCTCCTCACCTCTAACTCCGAACCGGTCCTCCTACAGAGCTTGTCATCCCTGCCAATTTCAGAGTCTTTCCTGCCGCCATCTTCCACTGCTAACTCCGCTTTGTCTATTAAACTAGCTTCTCTTCAGCACAAAACCTCCCGCCCCTCCTTCACCGTCCACCACCCACCTTTGCCCCGCTTGGCGCTGGCCCAAGCCGCGCCTGGGATCCCACAGTCCAACACGGCTGGCACGCCTGCTATGTGGGTCACCCTTGGCATGCAGTCTCCTTACGCTTCACATCTCTCTGGAGTTAAGCCACGATAAACGAGCTAGGCTTAGCTTTTGAGCACTGGTGCTCTGTAAGGTAAGGCTGGTGTGGGGTGTCTTGGGTGAGGCAAGGGTGGTGAGCAGGAGATTGGTGCTCTGACGTGCTAAGACAGGGGTCCTCAACCGTGGCAACTTCAAGACTTGTGGACTTCAGCTCCCAGAATTCCTCAGCCAGCTTTGCTGGCTGAGGAATTCTGGGAGTTGAAGTCCACAAGTCTTAAAAGTTGCCAAGGTTGGAGACCCCTATGCTAAGTTGTATGGAATCACACATCTCTCCGATCTTTGCTTTCCCTGTGATGGAAAGCCTTAAGAGGTGAAGCTCAATAGCAGAGTGTGTGTTTTTTTTTTACCAACAGAAACTCCCCAAATTTAATTCCTGCCCTGTTCTGTTTGGCAAGTTCAGTAGCAAGGAGTGAGAAAAACCCTTTTCTACAGGAGACCTTGCAGAACCACTGCCCTTCAGATACAAGTCTGGGGGACGGTCCCTAACTAAGTAGTGAAGTCCAGGGTTTTATCCAGAAAAGTGACTGGACATCCCTCCCAAAGATTAGGGTGGGTGACCTCTCCAGGGTGCAAACAGCCTCCAGAACCCTCTCAGATTGGCATGTATTAAGCCCCCCCCCCCAAAAAAAAAGGTGAGGGGGGGCTTTGCAAAGTTGGAGCTTAATTCCTTCACCCTCCAAAGCACACAGCACTCTCCCAATGATAGGACTGCTCCCCTGAGCATACCTTTTGTTTGTTTTTAAATTGAAATTGTGGTCCCTTCTCTCAAGGGTTGCTCCTCCCTGCCCACAAAGACTTATGATTAAAAATATATATGAAGTTGACCTGAAAACCTTTGCACATTAAAGGCAGGCAGTAATGAGCTAGGCGGGCCAGATTAGTGATAAAATGGTGATTAAAATCAGGTCCGGTCACATAGTGACTCCCTTAGGGACCAAAACTCTGGTCCCATTTGTGGTCCTAAGCCGAGGATTATCTGTTACTTACTTTATGGTTCAGTGCATCAAACACAAGACAGGACACACAGGGAAACGATAACAATCCTTGCCGTGGATCATGACCTGAACGTTCACGCAGGCAGGAGCTACGCAGATGTCTTGGGAGAGTGAAAATAATGCTGCAGATTTGAGTGTTTCTGAAGTTGCAATAGCGCTACTAAAGACGTTTAATAATCGTAGCTGAAGCTGTGTGGAAAGACAATGGGGCAATGGAGGGCTTACCACTCATTTGTCTTCTAATGTTCTCTATACCAGTGTTTTTCAACCTTGGAGTTCTGGGAGTTGAAGTCCACCCATCTTAAAGTTTCCAAGGTTGAAAAACACTGCTCTATACAAGCTTAATGGATAATTTTTAGGCAATTTGGGGTCATGACTAAAACCCGAAATAGGAAAAACTACCCTGTATCATGCAGACGTATACTGTAATTCTCCATAGAGGTTTTGGGCTGTCAAGGCTTAGGTCGAGGGAAAAGATGTGGTTGAGAAGCTTCTCCGTGCCAGGAAAAGGATGAGTGGGTGTGAGAATGAAGATAAGGATGAAGACCGCAAGAAGGAAAGAAAAGATAAAAGCAGACCAGCAGCAAAGAATTAAGGAAGTAAGAGGCTTTCAACAGCAGAAAAGACAACAGGAGGGGAAAAAACGTCCTCGGGATCTGCTTGACAAGTTGGTGGCAGCTGTGCCCTTTGCCCAGTTTTGGTTTTGGTTACCAGTTGTGCCCATTCCTGGATTGGGAGACCCTCTATCACTCATGGTTATCTTGTGTGTAGATTATTGCTGTGCATTCTACATAGGGCTACCCTTGAAGACCACACAGAACGTTCAGTTGATCCAGAAAGTAACAATGTGAGCCGCTATAGGCAGGTCTTATTATATCTGTATAGCACTGATTACTACTAAGCTTTTTGGGGAACAATTCTGGTGCTTGTTATTATGTATGAACACCTACATGGCATGGGGTCTAGTTGTATAAGAGACCAAAGATTTGGACAGGGTGAAACTCAGTATTCTGTGGACTGCGTGGTTAGAGCACAGGAAGGTATTCTTTAGATGTGGGTGTTTATAGTTTATTTTTTTGTTGTTTTCATTGGGTGAGCCACCCAGAGTTATGGCAGATAAGAGAGGCAGCCTTAGAAATGTTATCAGTCAGTCTCGCATGTCTTCTCCCTCCTATCCTGTGTAATCAAGGATCAGACACAGATGCAGGTGTTAAAACAGAGTTGGCATGCTCAGGATCTCATGGATGAAACTGTTATCTAGCAGGCCCTAGAAGCATGTCTTCTCTGTTTCAGCACCTGCCCTCTGGGCACAACCTCCCCCCCTCTCCCCAAGAGATTCCCACTGCCCTTATTCTGCCTGCCTTTTAAAGAGCCTTTAAAAAAAAACTCATCCCAAGTCTAGGACTAGGATGGTTATTGAGCCTTTTTAGTCAGGTGTGGTACAGGCAATAGCAAGAGCCCTTATAAACTGCTCCAAAGTGCTTTACAGCTCTCTCTAAGCGGTTTACAGAGTCGGCATTATTGCCCCCAACAATCTGGCTCCTCATTTTACTGACCTCAAAAGGATGGAAAGCTGAGTCAACCTTGAGCCGGTCAGGATCGAACTTCTGGCAGTCGGCAGAGTTTGCCTGCAGTACTGCATCCTAACCATTGCGCCACCACTGAAGAGGGTTTCATTGTTCCCTGGGCAACTATAATTCTTTTTTTAAATTTGTCAACCGTTTCAGAAGCAGGTACCTCTAGAAATGAGTTTCATAATTAAGAATTGTACTGGCACAAAGTAGGTGAAGGCAAAGAGAAAGGAAAGAAGCTGCATCAGACCTATGTACATCTATGCCAGGGGTCTTCAAACCTGGCCCTTTTATGACTTGTGGACTTCAACTCCCAGAATTCCTCAGCCAGGCACGTGTGCCTGGCTGAGGAATTCTGGGAGTTGAAGTCCACAAGTCATTAAAGGGCCAGGTTTGAAGACCCCTGATCTATGCTAGGAAATACACAAGTTGGATTCATACAGTATAATAAGCCAAAGAAAAGCAATATTATGGCTTGGTGTATATTTTAATTAGCCTATGATGGCATGAGTGAATTCCAAGCTTGATTCAGTCTAATATATCCTTATACTTGAGCAGAATGCCAGATCCATCAGCCCAAACTACATAGGCTGGGAGTGGAGACAGATGATTCAGACGGAGGATCTATCTATTAATTTCCGGGATTACCTAACTATTGGGCTTGCTTAACTATGATTGTTGAATAATCAATTGACTAGGTTCACGCAGTATATTTAAGTCAGGCCTGGAGTTAGGATGCTTGGGAAGCCCCTGTTGATTTTCCCCCCTGAATGTTGTTTATGTCATGTTTCTTTAATTCTTTAATTCATTTATTTATCATTTGATTGAATTTAGGGGCTGACCAACTCCAGTTGAATCATGTGTGGTTTTAAATGTTTTAAGCCTCCTAGAGTCTATTTGCAGTTGGGCGGCCTCAATATCCAATAGATTAGATAGATAGATAGATAGATAGATAGATAGATTAGATAGATAGATAGATAGATAGATAGATAGATAGATAGATAGATAGATAGATAGATAGATAGATAGATAGATAGATAGATAATGATAGATAGATAGATAGATAGATAGATAGATAGATAGATAGATAGATAGATAGATAGATAGATAGATAGATAGATAGATAGAAACATTGTGCAACTTCATTATATAGTAACCAATGAGCTTTATCTGGGATGTTTTGTAAATTCTAATACACATTTTATTTAGCCCAGATCAGGAATTCTTTGAGGTTTATTCAGCTTGTTGGAGGCAGACAGGGAGCCTTTTTGTTACAAGTATTGTTAAATCATTGGAAGCAGTCAGTCAGCAGGAAGTCATGATAAATTTGCTCTTCATTCCCATCAACCTTTATGCGTGTCGACAGTACAGTGCAAAAACTGTAGAAAGTTCTAAGTCCACCTTGCCTGTTTGCTGAGAACTTTACTTTAGACCTCTCACCCTGTTGTTTGGCAGTCTGGAAAGAATTGCTTAATGCAGGGGTGTCAAACTCAATTTCATTGAGGGCCGCATCACCATTGCAGTTGCCCTTGGGGGGGGGCTGGGGGTGTGTGGCCAGGGTGGGTGTGGCCTGCTGGGTGGGTGTGGCCTACTGGGTGGGCGTGGATGGAGTGGGTGTGGCCTATTGGGTGGGCGTGGCCAGCTCTACATCGTTCGCGTCAAGGGTGCCTGTGGGGGCCTGGGCAGGAATGGGACAGATCTGAGGGTCTTTGGCAGAAGGGGGTGGGATCGGGGCAAGCGCCAAGCCATGGTCCACTGGAGGAGCCTCACTGCCTGCCAAACCCCCTCCCCCGGAGCCCATCAAGCCGGATATGTGAAGTAGGCGAGGGCCATTTGCTGGCCACTTCCAGGCGATGGTGCATTTCTTCATTCCTCACAAAGGGTGACCCCTCCCCAGCATGCACCCAGGGGGCGGGGCCAACACGGCAGGGGCTGGTTCCTCGCTGTTTCCAGACGGCCTTGTGGAGCTAAGACTGAATGCGTTTCAGCATAGATGGCCACCACAAGATTGTACATTGGCTCCTGGCTGGCCTGGGCCAGGGCCAAGGCAGTGGGGGCCGTTTCCTCACTGTTTCCAGGATGGCTTCACGGGCCACATGAAACCACTTTGCGGGCCGCATCCGGCCCCCAGGCCTTGTGTTTGACATGTCTGGCTTACTGTAAAAAAAAAAAAGTCATTGTTAACCTTTGGGGCTCTTGTTTAAAGTGCCTACCTAAAGTTCAATCTTTTCCTTCCCTTTCTTTCCTCCCTTCCTCTTTTGCAGGTAACTAGGACTTCTACCTCAACCTGATGTGACCTATGCAAGGACAACATGGACCAACTTCTCTCAGCTCCCACTGAAGGTGCTTGCCTCAATGGCTTAAGGGTTTTCCCCCACCCACCCACCCACCCAACTTCTCTTTTACTACTGGACTCAAACCTAAGTCATAAACATAAAACCAGAGGAAAGGAAATGCTACTGTGAATCTTAAGTTAAATATATATTCAGACTGCAGAAGAAAATGCTTAGAAACAGCTTCCAGTTTGTACTGTCTGATAGAGTAGATATTTATATATTTTTAAATGTTTAAAACACAGGCGCCCCTTGACAACGTTTTTGTTCCACCTAAAGTTGTAGAACTGAAAGGAGAAAAAAAAAAAGAGGAAGGGAACTTTAACAACAAAACCACCATTTTCTCTGAAATAAAAAAGACTGGCACATCAGCAGAGATGTAACAGAGCTTCTCTTGGTGCTATTGACATCTGAAAAAATGTGCCTCTCCCGTTCTGTGCTCACGGTGCTGCTTTTTTTAATTATTATTATGTTTGGCCTGGTGGGGATGATCAACATGAAATTTTGTGATTTCTGTACATCACCTGGCTTCTTTTATTCCTCCTGCTACCATTGGACACATGCCAACTGGCTAGTTTTTATACTGAAATCAAGAAAGCAATGGATGTGGGAGAAGGGGGGGGGATAGCTCTTTCGAAAACTTTATTTTTTAATGATTCCGACATTGATGTAATTTATATTGCAAGCCACGATCAGCTTGTCTCTCTCCCTCCCTCACTTCCTTCTTTAGCCTCTCCTGGTGGAATTCAGCTGCGGTGCTCATGTTGGGCTCTCCACCAGTGTTCAGACATGCAGTGGTTGTTTGGAAGGGGGTACTCTGCCTTAATTGTGTGAAAGCCAAAGGGTTGCATTAAAAATGTGAGGGGCTGAGTCACCGATGAAAAGAAATTGTATCTTTTATGAATATGGATGGTTTATGAAAATGATCCTTGCCATTCCAGGTGGTTGGTTTACTTTGGGCAATCAAGTATCAGAATCAGGTTGTTGACTTGTCAAGTCTCTTAGTTGCCATGCAGGCTGACTCTGTGAAGCTGTGAGTAGACTAGCCTCTGCCTTTTGTTTTCCAGATCGTGTTGTTTTTTTTTTGGTCTTGTCTTGTCATTAGATCCCAGCCTTCATCAGTCCCAGCTGGCTGTTGGTCAAGGATGATGTGATTTGCCATCATCCGGAGGGCCATTGGGTTCTTGGCTGGTAATTAGGAACATTTTCTCTTTCTCTCCCTCTTTGTTTAGGGGTTTTGGCGTTGCATCTTCTGGGGTTCATATTGTTTGAAAATTAATTTATAAGATCATCCAACCAGCTTATTTGCCTTTTACACCTTCCCCTTGGGAATACCTGGTGAGCTTATTATGCATTTGCAGATCTCTTAGGAACTTATCCAGGAGCTAGGTAGGAAGAGAAGATTCCTATCCAGCTTTATCTTCTCTGTAACCACCTCCCTCGTTCAGAGGGAGTTGCCTACATTTTACAAAGGCATGTATGTCCTTTGATGTTGGTCTGACTGTTTCTCTGTCAAACTTGAGAAGTCCAGGCAGCTGAATCTTGTGTCAAGAAGAGGCTGTCCTCAGGTTCCTCTGCGGAGTTGATTTGTTTGAAGTACAGTGTATTTTTTTAATTAGCAAGATTTTAATACTTGATTGAGAAGCAGCTTTGGGTTTTGTTTTATCAAATTGAACACGTGCTGGTTTTGATATATATATAGGGCATTTGCTTTTAATGAAGCTTTTAATATTATTTACTTTCACACGAGAGGAAACAAACCACAACACTCAAAAGTTCATTTTTATCATTACGCTGAGTATATTTTTTAAGGAGAAAAAAAAATCAAATCTGTGATTTGGGAGTTATCAGTTTACGGAGGAAAATATAAGGCACACGGTTTGGGAAAAGCAACAAAATATTTTATAGAAAGTGACAGTGACTTCTGATTTATTTTTGTATCAGACTGTTCATAGTAAAATAGGAAGAGGGATATAAAGTCTGGTTTAATTTTTTTCAAGCATGTAAAAGCAAGTGTGAAAGGAAAGGGAAACTTTGGTGTAAACCCTTGGAACAGAAAGGAGCAAGAATCACGAGTAGAAGTACAAGTTGTATGAAGAGCAAGGTTAAAAACATGTCCGTGTTCCCATTCAGTGAAAATCAGTCGATCATATTAAAACCCCCAATACCTTTTTCAACTTTAGAAAATACATGCATGCAGGCTTAAAGCTCTGGATCACTCTACAGTAATTCCATTTTTTTCCTTTTTGGTTCCACAATGCATACCCTTCTGGCTATTTTAGACTACTGCTTCTCTTAATCTCAGCAAGCCTCACCATAGTTGAATGAAATTGTGAGAGCAGGTGAAGGAAATCAGGCTGGGTGGGAAAGAAAGATGAGCTTTCTGATGATGATATTTAAAAACACCCCAGGCTTTGCCTAATTTCTGCATTTGTTCCCTTTGAGCCGAAAGAGGAGGGGATAAGGAAAAAATGGCCAAACTCAGTTTCCCTTGGGACAGGGGTAGGCAACCTTGGCTCTTTTAGGACTCGTGGACTTCAACCCCCAGAATTCCTGAGCCAGCATGGCTCAGCTTGGAAATTCTTCCCTTTCCCCTCAGCATGGCTGGCAGAGGAATTCTGGGAGTTGAAGTCCACGAGTCCTAAAAGAGCCAAGGTTGCCTACCCCTGCCTTGGGAAGAGAAAGGTTTTTACACCAATTACATAGCTTGAGCAGAAGGCTTTGACCCACTTTGCAACCTGGAACAAACTCCACAAACAATTCTGTATATTTGAGATTCCAGGGTGATGTATCACCTTGATTCAGCTGACTTCTTTCTCTCCCCCCCCTCCTTCCCCCCCCCTCAAAGATATTCCATTTGAGAGGGGATCCTTTTGTTGGTTAAGAAATCTTTCCAATAAGCTTGCCTTCTGTAGAAAGACCTGTGCCTCTCTGGAAAATCATAGTGTTGAGCTTGTTGGCAGGCTCGAGATGGTCCACCAGGATCTAGGTATCTTACGTTTCTAAGTGAGAGGAAGTTTCATGCACATTAGAATGTGACTCCTTTATGGGTGCTTTTCTTCCTTCTTAATGTGAATGAAGAGCTAGCTTGACCCAGACCATGGTTTCCCAACCTTAGCCATTTTAGGATGTGTGGACTTCAACTCCCAGAATACCCCAGCCAACTTCTGGGAAGTCCACACATTTTAAAGGTTGGGAAATACCGACTCAGCAGAAGTGGAGCAAGACTTCTTTTAGAAAGCCTGGATCTTGTGTTAACTCCTCTAAAAGTCTATGGAGATTCTCAGTCATCCGTGTCATATTTGCCTCAAAAGGCAACTGGACTTCGTTTTTCCTGGAAGACGTTTCGCTTCTCATCCAAAAAGCTTCTTCAGTTCTCTCATCCAGAACTGAAGAAGCTTCTTGGGAGGAGAAGCGAAAGGTCTTCAAGGAAAAACAAGGTCCAGTTGTCTTTTGGAAAAGTACCTTTGGGGCAATTCTTCTAAAAGACAAATAACCTGCATCCAAGTTTTTCATATGTGTGGAGTTATCAGAGCTTACACCCGGGGTCTTCAAACTTGGCCCTTTTATGACTTGTGGACTTCAACTCCCAGAATTCGGGCTGAGGAATTCTGGGAGTTGAAGTCCACAAGTCATAAAAGGGCCAAGTTTGAAGACCCCTGGCTTATACCCTGAAATCTGCTCACTCTTAGATTCTCATCCGATACAAAGGAAGGCGAGGAAACAGCGCATTATTTGTTAAGGACTTCTTTTGAGGAAATAATCCCAGGTTTTCTTCCCAATAGGGCCAGAATCTTGACTCTCTCTCTTGATCTTGATCTTGCTAGAATAATTCTGCATTGTCATTTAACTTCTGCTCAGTTTTTCATTAGGTTTGAAAGGAATCATTTCTTCTCTAAGGTTTTATGCAGCCTCCTCCTCCACAGTCTCTTGTCTTCCATTAGGAATTAGGTATTTTTGTCCTTTATTGGCAGATTTCACTCCAAATGCAGACACCGAGCTGCAAATTGGCATCCAGAGGAAAGGAGGAACGTGAGCCAAAAGTCTCTGCAGAGCATTCTCTGTCTCTTAAGCTCTTTTTCCAGGCTTTCTGCTATTTAAAAGTGTGTTGGGAACTCTCATGAAGTTAGCTTTTGCATTCTACAGCGGTCCTGTAATTGGTTTCAAATCTGTCCTGAAACAAATGGGTGCATCAGCTTCTATTTTCTATATGTTACCCTATACAGGGTATATGAAGAGCTGTCAATATACACATGGAGAGGATAACCTTCAGATATATAAATTGTATTAGGTCCTCCAGCTTCAGACATTCTTTAAAAGTTGGCAATTTAATATTCTATACTTCTCTGAGTGGGAATAGCACAGACATAATAGCGGGATGGCTATTTTTCCTAGCTTGCCCCGAGGAAAGGAAGATGATTTTAGGAAATGATGACATATTTGAGTCCCTAGATATTAAGGCACATGGAGTTGCAATCTTTGTCCATCTCAGCAACGTGTAACTTTAAGATGGGCGGACTTCAAGGCTGGCTGGGGAATTCTGGGAGTTGAAGTCCACGTGTCTTAAAAGTTGCTGAATTTGAGAAACATTGCACAAGAGGGCTGTTGTGTTCTGGCTGGGTCTAAAGGAGAAGAAAGGATTTTTCATACTTGATCTAAGAGTTACAGTATAACTTGAAGCATGTATGGCATATTCCCCTGCATTCTTTAAAATCCCCCCCTCTTCTCAATTCTCTCTCTGTTGTGGTTGCAAGGGCAAGCTCCAGAGGTGTGTGTGTGGGGCGGCATCTTATCTGGGTTTTTTTTTTCTATTTTTCGTCCTCTATCTATCTTAGAAAGCCTAATAAATCCCCAGTTTTGTTGTTCCGTTGCCTTCCCCTGAAAAGTTTAAATAAGGGGCCATGGATTAGGAACCTCTTCAGAATACATTTGAGCTACAGAATAACACAGCATATGGTTAATTTAAAAAAAAATATGGGTGTGCTGATCTAAATACACATTCAATGAAATTGATTTTAATAGAGCACC